ATCGCCCGAGTCCTCCTAAACAGACTTCTTCCTGAGGCCAAAAACTTCCTCCCAGAATCTCAATGTGGCTTTAGACCATCATGTGGCACCACTGACATGATTTTTGCTGCCTGCCAGATACAGGAAAAGTGTAGAAAAAAGCGTCGTGACCTGTACATGGCTTTCATCGACCTAAGCAAGGTCTTCAACTCGGTGAACAGGGAAGCCCTCTGGTGGACCCTCCGCCGTTTTGGCTGCCACAAAATTCATCGCCATTGTGAGGCAACTCCATGATGGCAATGAACGGCACCGTCCTACACAGCCCAGTCTGAGTTCTTCCCCATCCAAGTGGGATTAAACAAGGGTGTGTACTGGCACCAACTCTCATTTCCATTTTCTTGGCTGCCTTCCTTACTAGTGCCAGTGCCAATTTTGCTGGTGGGGTGGACATAGAGTACTGGGTGAAGGGGGTGCTTTTCAATATAAGACGACTCCAGGCAGACGACCTCACCCTTGTCGCTCACACTGATCGCGACCTACAGAAAATCCTGAACACCTACGCAGATGCATATGCACACTTCGACCTTGAGGTGGATGTACGTAAGACTCAGATTCTCTTTCAGTCTGCCCCTGGTTCAGACACATCTCCACCATCCGTCCAGTTTAACGGTACTACCCTCTCTAATGTTACCCACTTTCGGTATCTCGGCTCCCACCTGTACACCAACGCGGACATCGATGAAGAGATTCAGCATCGGTTCAGATGTGCATCTCAAGCCTTTGGCAGACTCCAAAAGCGTGTCTTCAGCTGTAGGGAGTTGAAATTATCTACAAAGTTACATATATATCGAGCAGTGGTCCTCCACACCCTGATATATGGCAGCGAGACATGGGTCACATACAGGAGGCACCTCAAAGCACTTGAAAAGTTTCACCAACGTAGTCTACGTTCCATTCTCCGAGTTCGCTGGGAAGACAAGAGAACAAATGCCAGTATTCTTGCTGACACCAACTGTAGGAACATCGAGGCTACCATTATAAATGAGCAACTACGCTGGGCTGGTTCTGTTACCAGCATGGACGACAGTAGACTGCTAAAGCAGCTACTTTACAGTCACCTGGCGGACAACTGAAAAGGTATGAGAATAGTCTTAAAACAAACCTAAAACAGTACCAAATCGACCCCCCCTCACCTGGGAGACAATTACTTCACATTGTAACCCTTGGAAGAGCACCAGACAAGAAGGTGTCAATACTTTTGAGTTAGCCCGACTGGAAACCGAGGCAGACAAGCACCAACGTCGGAAAGACACTACCGTCGCCCCTCCCGCACTAGCTGTAGCCCTCCACATGTGCAACCTCTGTGACATGTCGGTCCCGTATCGGCCTCTTTAGTCACCCCAAAACTCACTAATGAAGGTGACATCCCTAATAACTCATATCATTGTATTATAGCTGGATGATCGTCATACTCGATTCCGAGTGACAGCAAAGTAGGAAGTAGTAGGACAACAGTACCGGAGAGAGGGAAGTGTCGGCCACTACAGCCGTTCACTTAAACCTTATAGTACGTCCTCTGGGGATGGGGGTTATATTAACAGTCAATGACTAAAAGGTTTCAGCTCTTGGACTGCAGGAACTAGCCTTAGAAAGGAAGGAATGTCTAGTCTTATGAGTCATCGACGCTGGGTTTGGGTGGGGCGGCGGAGCGACCCATTGTCGTCGCCATTGTTGAGATCAGACAACAATTATTGATGACCAAATAAAAACCTCGCTTCATGCAATACGGGAAACTAAGGTTGAATAAGAATCACCATTTTAAGACGTCCTAGTCAGTGTATTTTTATTTTAAGACCGTTTAGTATAGACATCACTGTTGGGGTGATTTAACATTTACTGACCAAACATAATTCTTGTTTCATTCAATAGGTGGTATTCACTTTGTTTTATGATAACCATTTTAAGAAGTCAGTGATGGTTGGTTTATGATCTTAAGACAATTAAGTCCAGAATCCAGCAAACTTGAGGTCAGACAACAATATAGTGATTGACTACTTCTCATAACGTTACTAACCAGCTTCGTACCAGTGATGTTGTTGAACAATTCTTCATTGATTTTAGTGCTTTATTTTAGCCTTCATTACTTCAGCTTTCATAATATCAGTGAACATAGTTTTTAATCTAGTCTTTATAATTTAGCTATCGAATGAGGAAATAATGATAGTCATGAAGTTGACAGTAAAAATATTATATTCGCCAGCCTAAGTTTTCATTCATTTTCCACATTTAAATATATGAAGTTATGACACATAAGTCATAACTTTACCTTTTTCTTCTATAATTACATGCTATTCTCTTGAATAACATACGCATATGTCATACATCAGTGGTCACTCACTGCCTCATTGTCATACATCAGTGGTTACTAATCTGCCTCAGTGTCGTACGTCATTGGTGACTCACTGCCTCAGTGTCATACATAAGTGGTCACTCACTGCCTCAGTGTCGTACGTCATTGGTGACTCACTGCCTCATTTCATCGTGGTCTCTGCCTCAGTGTCATACTCAGTGGTCACTCTGCCTCAGTATCGTTTGTCAGTGGTGACTCACTGCCTCATTGTCATTCATCAGTGGTTCTAACTGCCTCAGTGTCATACATCAGTGGTCACTTACTGCCTCAGTATCGTTTGTCGTGGTGACTCACTGCCTCATTGTCATTCATCAGTGGTCCTAACTGCCTCAGTGTCATACATAAGTGGTCACTCACTGCCTCAGTGTCGTACGTCATTGGTGACTCACTGCCTCAGCGTCATACATCTGTGGTCACTTACTGCCTCAGTATCGTTTGTCAGTGGTGACTCACTGCCTCATTGTCATTCATCAGTGGTCTCTAACTGCCTCAGTGTCATACATCAGTGGTCACTTACTGCCTCAGTATCGTTTGTCAGTGGTGACTCACTGCCTCATTGTCATTCATCAGTGGTCTCTAACTGCCTCAGCGTCATACATCAGTGGTCACTTACTGCCTCAGTATCGTTTGTCAGTGGTGACTCACTGCCTCATTGTCATTCATCAGTGGTCTCTAACTGCCTCAGTGTCATACATCAGTGGTCACTTACGCCTCAGTATCGTTTGTCAGGTGACTCACGCCTCATTGTCATTCATCAGTGGTCTCTAACGCCTCAGCGTCATACATCAGTGGTCACTTGCTCAGTATCGTTTGTCATGGTGACCACTGCCCATTGTCATTCATCAGTGGTCCTAACTGCCTCAGTGTCATACATCAGTGGTCACTTACTGCCTCAGTATCGTTTGTCAGTGGTGACTCACTGCCTCATTGTCATTCATCAGTGGTCTCTAACTGCCTCAGCGTCATACATCTGTGGTCACTTACTGCCTCAGTATCGTTTGTCAGTGGTGACTCACTGCCTCATTGTCATTCATCAGTGGTCACTCACTGCCTTAGTGTCATATATCAGTGGTCAGTCAGTGTCTCAGTGTCATACATCAGTTGTCACTCACTACCTCAGTGTCATATATCAGTGGTCAGTCACTGCCTCAGTGTCGTACGTCAGTGGTCACTCACTTAGGGTTGTCATATCTGAACATTCAAAAAAGAGGACGCTCCCGAAGACATCCCCCCCGCCCGGCACACACAGGCTACTATACAACATACAGTACATGGTATAGAAATCTTAAAAAAAAAAATTACCTTTTGCTTAAGGCTGAACATTTTCATTCCCTTGCTGCAGTCTTTCCCCCACTGTGTGTGTGACTTGATGTACCCATGCATACTTTTCTGTAGATCGGATCTTTTTCAGTATTGGCTGATTGTTTTAAAAAGTATAGAAGTCACTGCAAGGTGTTTTCGGAAGTTGTACTGTACTGTCAGAATGCCTTTCATTGTTTCATCATTCAATTTGTTCCTTTCTGTGTCCATTGACTTTGCATCAGTGAAAAACTCTTTCTACATTTGCATTGTGAGATGATATAGCAAGGAAGAATTGTGCAATTCTTAGCAATTCTGAGTGGCATTCAGTGTTTTGATTTTTCAAAGTATCTGGTCCACTTTTTGTGTTGGCAGATTACTAAATTCTTCATCACTCTTGTAATCTTCCACAAACTGCTTCAGGTTACTAACTTGGTCAAAGCACTTCATCAACTTCTACCCCTTATCAATCAAATATTTGACAGCTAAGTTGACAACACCGTACAGGCGTACAAGTGACTTATCAGCTGACGAAAACTGAACGAGATCTCTACGGTTTCCACCTTCTCTCTCCGTCATTACAGTTTCATGTTTTTTCCGTGGAGAAAATGATGGATGCTGAAATTCCGGACTTTTGAAGAATTTAAAATTCTTCCGGATGAAGATTTCGAGACCTAAATGGAGGACATGTCCGGGAAAATACGGACGTAGTACTCACTGCCTCAGAGTTCCAGCGTTATCTTTAAAAAAAATTCGTTACTCGAAGATAATCAGCAAGGCGGTTTCTTTCCCCTCTGTATCGTATTCTAGTTTTTCAAGTAAGGGATTACGTTAGCAATGTGAGACACAGACTATCCTTTGCAAGTGTTTATTCATGAAATGGAAAGCAGCAGTAATCTGGAGCTGACCATTAACTCTATATTTGTCGTTCTCATTTACTACCTGTACAATGTTTTTACCTATTATTAAGATTAACACCTAGCCTTTTTAAGTTCACCTTAATATTTAGCTGCATCATTAGCTCTGATAATGCAAGACATGATTGACTGACTACCGGAAAGAGTAACCTTTTTGCTCTCCTTTACAGACCGGTGGACGTCAACCTGCATCTGCCCATACACTCGTCACCACCTTTGGTCATCCTAGCTTGTTTCGTCCATAACCCAATTTATATATTACTAACTTACCAGTTTGGAAATATGAGTTTGTGAGACTCAGGCAACAAATTATTTTGTTTCACTTAAGATGCTCGTGATAAAAAGTGAAAAACAAAGTGTGGTGGGACTACAGTATTATATAGCATGTCACAAACCTTTGCCTGGTCAAACTCTAACGTCTGAAGTGTTCCGTCGTACGCCAGAATGGAGAACTCAACATTCTCGGTGATGGGGTTAAGAGTAACGGCAAACTGCGGCCTGTCCTCAAGGTCATTGATCCTAATGATGTCCCAGGGACCGCGGGGGGGCCGACGAGCCCGGTAGGTGCAGATGAGGGAGAACTCTTGTAGACCCAGCGGGAAGATGTCTCTGCAACACCATGTGGGTTACATACACTGCTTAAAATGTTTAAAATCTGACACCACTTGTCAATTTACCTAGATATTCTTGTCACCAACATTCACTGCCTACCACCATCAGCCTTCACTGTTTGCCACCAACAATCACTGTCTGCCACCATCAACATTCACTGTCTACCACCACCAACATTCACGGTCCACCACCACCATTCACTGCCTGCCACCATGATTTATTATCTGCCACGATCAACATTCACTGTCTGCCACCATCAACATTCACTGCCTGTCAGCATTGTTAACTGCCTACCACCACCATTCACTGCCTGCCACCATCATTCACTGCACCATCATTCACTACCGGCCACATCATTCACTGACTGCCACCATCATTCACTGCCGGCCACCATCATCCACTGCCTGTCACCATCATTCACTGCCTGCCACCATCATTCACTGCCTGTCACCATCATTCACCGCCTGCCACCATCATTCACTGCCTGCCATCATCATTCACTGCCTGTCACCATCATTCACTGCCTGCCACCATCATTCACAGCCTGCCACCATCATTCATTCCCAGCCACCCTTATTCACTACTTGGCATCATCATTCACTGTCTGCCTGCCACCATCATTCACTGTCTGCCTGCCACTATCATTCATTTCATGTCACCGTTATTAACTGCCTACCACCATCATTCACTACCTGCCACCAGAATTCATTGTCTGCCATCCTAATTCAATGCCGGCCACTATTATTCACTGTCTGCCGCCATCATTAACTGCCTGCCATCTACATTCACTGTCTGCCACTACCATTCACTGTCTGTCACTCTTATTCACTACTTGGCATCATCATTCACTGTCTGCCTGCCACCATCATTCACTGCCTGTCTGCCACTATTATTCAGTGTCTGCCACCATTATTAACTGCCTACCACCATCATTCGCTGCCTACCACCATCATTCACTGCCTGCCTCCATCATTCACTGCCTGCCACCATCATTTACTGCCTGCTACCATTATTCATTGCCTGTCACCATCATAACTACCTGCCACCATCATTTAATGCATGCCACCATTATTCAATGTTTGCCACCATCAACATTCATTACCTACCACCACCATAGCGTCTAGAAATGGTATTTGGATTTGCTTCTCTAGTTCAACTGTGAATTGCATATCATTATTTACATGGTTAACATCCTTAATTTGTTTGCAATGTTTACTTTATTTGAAAGAGAAGGCTCGTGAAACTTGAGAGGCTCTAAACTGGTTTAGAGCGTGGTTACAAGACAGGAAACATAGAGTCAGTATTAATGGCACCAAATCCGATTAGGATAACGTTACTGTGAGTACTCCAAGGCTCAGTACTTGGACCATTGCTATTTATTATATATATATATATATATATATATATATATATATATATATATATATATATATATATATATATATATATATATATTACGGGGAATAGCCCAAACGAGCACCGGTCATCGACCCACAACGGAACCTGGGGGTTGAAAAAATAAGAGTAAAAATACATTAAAAATAGGAAAGAAAAAGACTATATTAATCTACACCACGAAGATGCCGGAAAACCAACTTTTTTAAGTGAGACAGATTGTAACAGAATGGAAACAGAAGAAGGCAGAGCATTCCACAGTTAGGCTGTATGAGGAAAGAAGGATGTACTATAACGAGTTTTTCTAGTGTGACCGACATCCACACAAAAACGGTGGGCACTGCGGGCAAGACGAGCGTTACGAGCCCATGGCCTTGCCGGCGGTACACAGGATGCCAAATCCACCGAACATTGCCCGTTAAAGCACTTGTTAAAGAGAGAGAGTGAAGCAACATTGTGGGGAAGAGAAAGGGAAGAGAGATTATCAACTAAAGGAAGAGAGTTAATAAAACGAAATGTCTTTGATTTCACCCGATCTAACAGTTGGGCAGAAGAACCACCCAGCTGCTCTGGGCTGAAGTAGCTACGGCATCTGTCCAGCATTGCCAGCTTTCGGGGGGCAACTTGTAATGTTGTGGATGTGTGGTTTCCATGACATATTAGAGGAAATGGTGAGACCTAGCATACCTATTTTAGAATTTAGCAGAATGTTTGCGTCCTGAAATGTGAAAGGTGGGAGATCTTCTATTGTGAAAAGTGTATTTGGTCAATACTGTGTTTTATTACTATTGAATTTAACCAGGTTTCCACCTTCCCATTCAGAAATGCTGCATAGATCCGCATTGATAGATGAATTGATATTGATATCAGCTCTAGAAACAGATCTAGTTTGAGAATTAGGGGGAGGGAAAAATATGAAGAGTGTAGAGTAGTATCATCGGCGTAAGAATGGAGAGAATTAGTCGTAGTGTGAAATAAATAATTGATATAAAAAGGAAGAGAGTCGGTGAAAGTACAGGACCCTGTGGGACACCACTATTGGTAGAAAGATAATGAGATCGATCCCTTGACAACAACTGCCATGGATCGGTCCTCAAGGAAGCTAGAAATTAGAGAACAAAGTGGAGGAGAGAAACCACAAGAGGGAAGTTTAGAAAGCAAAGACTTGAGTCATACCCTGTCAAATGCGTTGGAGATGTCGAGGGCCACGACAAAAGTCTCCCCATAACACCTAAGAGAGGATGACCAAAGATGGGTGAAGTAGGAGAGTAGATCACCAGTAGATCTCACCTGGCGAAAGCCATGCTGGTGATCCGACAAGAGAAAGGCGTTCAAGGTGACAGAGAAAATGAGAGCTTAAGATAGTTTCGAAAATCTTTGAGAGGGATGAAGTTAGAGTGATTAGAATGGTCACCATTCTTCGGGATGGGCTGAACCGAGGCATGTATCCAAGAAGAAGGAAAAGTTTGGGTTTTGAGGCAAAGGCGAAAGAGGCGAGCAAGCACAGGGGCCATAATTTCAGCACCTCCTCAGAACACAAGGGGGTATTCCGTTCGGTAAATGAGCCTTACCCACATCCAACTTGGATAACACACTAGCAACCCTACGAGTGGAGATTATAGGAAAGTACATAGGTTCAGTAGGAGGAGCTGGAGTAGGAGGGGTAGAGATGGAATCGTCTCAGGTGGAGATAGAGGAGAAAAAGGTGCCAAAGAGATTGGCTTTATCAGGGGGAGAGTTGGCTATAGAGTTATCAGATCAGAAGGGAGGAGGAAAAGAGGGAGTGCAGAAGTTATTACAGATTTTTTGGTTAAGGGCCAGAAGGAGTGACTAGAAGAAGAGTTAGTCAGGACAGCAGTCTTTATTTTTATAAAATTCCACTTGGCCCGACGAAGAATAGCCTTACAACAATTCCTAGAAGTAATGAAAGACGAGTGGGTATCATGAGAAGGATATAGTTTCATAACTTGATACGCCCTATCTCTCTCCCTACATGCAAGTGAACAGGAGCGATCAAACCATGATTGTAAAGTGAAAGTTTTGGTCGAAGATGGGATAAATGCACTCATACCACCGAGTATAACCCCAGCAATGCTGTCAGCACATACCGAGGCGTCCCGAGTGGAAAAGCAATATTCATCCCAGGGAAAGTCGGAAAAGAATTCTCGCAAGGATTGTCAGTTTGCCCTCCGATAGTGCCATAGTTGGCGTGTAGATGGGGTGAGGGAGGTGGTCATGTCCAGTTTGATTAAATAGTGTGAGGGGTTAGAGGTAGCACAAAGATCAAGAATGTTAGTAAGTTGATCGTGTTGATGTGGAACACGTGTAGGGTGTTTAATTATTTGTTCCTGATCATTAAGTCAGGAAAAAGAGAATGCCTCAGCTCCACCTGGGCCATCCCTTGCAGAGTCAAGCCAGTCTCTGTGATGTACAGTCTCGTTCAAGATTCTTCGAACACTGCTGGAGACAGCTGGCAAATCAAGGCCGTTTGTTTACTATAGTACGTAGTAAAATTTTTGAATAAATGTAAAAGTAATCGGTGATTGATTACTTAGTTCCCGTTGCTTAATTTAATGGTTGGGCTTTGTTTTTTCGTATTATATTATACTACGTACCATAGTAAACAAACGGCCTAGAATTGCCAGCTGTCTCCAGCAGTGTTCGAAGAATCTTGAACGAGACTATGCATTGAAATCCCTTAGGTAGAGGATCTTGGAGTTGGGGTGTGTGGATAGCACCGACTCATGGCAAGAAGTGAGATAGTCAAAGAGTTCCAAATAGTTGGTAGAGTTGGGAGAACAGTATAGGAAACAAAGAAAAATAGTCACAGTAGGTAGAGATATTTTTAGCCAGATGACATCATAAAGGGGAGATTCAAGATCCGTGAGTTGAGCTATAGGTGCATGTAAGGTAATAGTCTCATACACTTCCCTTAGAATGAAAAGAGGTCTAAAGGTTGTAGTTGGAGACTTAAAAAGGTTTGAGTGAAGCTGGTTTTGTCAGTTGAAGTTCAGATAGTAGTAAGAGATCGGGTAAGAGGTTAATAGATGGTGCTCCACAAAAGAGAAATTGGATCTCAAGCCGCGAATGTTGCAAAAATGAATATTTGCTCGAAACAAGGCTAACAAAGTACTTGGGTTCATAAAAAGGAGTGTTTGTTACAAGACTAACGAGGTTATCCTACAACTTTATCTTGCCTTTGTAAGACCTCACTTGGATTACGCGGTTCAGTTCTGGTCACCGTACTACAGAATGGATATAGAATCCCTAGAAAGAATTCAAAGGAGAATGACAAGACTCATCCCGAGCATTAGGAACCTTGAGTACAAAGACAGATTAAAGCATCTTAATTTGCACTCCCTCAAGAGACGCAGCGTGAGGGACGATATGATCGAGGTGTATAAATGGAAGGCAGGCTAAAGAAAGGTGATATAACAAAGGTGCTCTAACTATTATAGCCAGGAGCGAACTCGAAGCAATGGTTTTAAATCAAACAAATTTAGATTTAGGCGAGAGATAGGTGAGCATTGGTTTGGACAAGGAGCAATGGATGAATGGAACAGGTTACCAAACATCATCATTAACACGAATACACTGGTTAGCTTCAAATATA